TATTACCAACCTCCTAACATACCCTCATTTTTATACTGGAGAACTTCACTGCAGCAATTCCTGATCATCGCTACTGGGTCCAGAGTCTTGACAATGACATTGTCTCTGGTAATGACACTGGGATCCTCAGCCAAGATGCCCTTAGAGGATCTCCATTCCCCTAGATCCAAATCTAAAACCAGAAAAGTGTCGTCGCTTCCTCTATCCCCAGTGGCAGCTCCTTCACTTGAATGAAACTGTCACCAACACAGCTGAGGCAGACACGGAGCCCTGTGTGGATGGCTGGGTGTATGACAGAAGCTACTTCCCCTCCACCATCATAACTGAGGTAAGAAGCCTCATTTAAATCATCTGCTTATTTGGTGTTAATAGCAAGAAGAAACTTGCTTTATACATTTTGTCCCCAGATGTGTGCTGTAGTCAACACTTTCTCCCTTTCTTATGCAGGTAGCAATTGCTTATCTACACTACAATGCTGTTGAGAACATACAGTATTGGAGTTAATGAATTGAACAAGCAAAACATATACCTATAATTATCCTTTAATCTAATGAGAAAGATCTATAATTTTAAAAGTGATCAAATGTTATACTAAGTCGGTGGTTCTCAGTGCTGAAAAACTGACTCTGAGAGCAAATAAATCAGAATCTCTGGGCATAGGATCCAAACACTAGTGTTTTTGATGTTCTTTAAGTGATTCAATGTGTGGCCAAGGATGAGAGATATTGTAGTAGTTGAAGTATGGACTGCTAAGAAAAGTCAAAGGCAGGACCCTAAGTCACTTAGATGATGAGGAAAAAAAAATAAGCTTTCAAATTTTTGGTATCTGAAATTTCTTAAAAATGTGTTTTTATATGTTTTAAATTGTAGTAGCAAAAGAATGTGTATAAGTTAATGGAATAAAGAGAGTTGGTGGCCTGAAGGTAAAAATGAATAAAGACATGTAGAAAAAATGCAGAATATTGGAAAGTTATGAGGCAAGAGAGAGGCAAGTGCACTTGAAGGGCTGAAATAAGTGGAGGAAGGGCGACCAGGGGAGAGTGACTGTCGGTGAAGCTGGAGATCGGGCAGGATCACAAAGCAGAGGATCACATACATCATATCTGGGAATTTGTGCTCCTTTTCCACTGAGTGCAAAGATTTTTAAAGGCTTAAAACCTCAAACTCCACTGTGCTTTTTTTGATTCTCTTCCAGTGGGACCTGGTTTGTGAATCCCAGTCATTAAAACCAATGGTTCAAACTCTGTTTATGACTGGGTCACTGTTGGGAAGTCTGATATATAGCCTTCTTTCAGACAGGTGTCACCTCACTTTCTTTTGGACTGTTTGTCAGATTAAGTTTTCAGTAAGTATTTATTCCTTTATTTAATAAATCTTGGGCTGGAGTTATAGCTCAGTGGTAGAGCACTTCCTTGCATCCTCAGCACCACATAAAAATAAAATAAAGGTATCATGTCCATCTACAACTAAAAAAATAAATAAAAGAAAAGAAATCTTACTTGAGCTCTGTGTGTTTGCATTGAACTGTGTAGTGGCCTCACTTTCTGACTTCAGGAAACTACAATCAAATATTAGTGCTTGGTACATAAATCAGATGCTACAATTTGTTGTGAAAAACTCATTTTGCTGCATTAAGAAAGACAGGAAAGGCAATGTCAATCATATCAGTTTCAGGGAAAATTTGCAGAGAAAATCCAGAATGTGAGGTGTATGAGTAAGAGTTAGTTCAACAAAGGGAGAGAAAGGAGAGTTGAGGGAGAAGGTATTTGCATGTTTACAAGTATGTTCCTGTTCTTGGCAATATTCTAAACCACCTAGACCCTGTAACATAAATGAGAATAGATATTTTTATACTGGTCATCATTTCATACATGCATTGTAGGCACACATACAGAGGGTAATCACTATTATAAAATCTGAGGGTTGAGTAGCACCGTGGGCCTAATGGGATAGTAAATCACTGGAACTTTAACCTGAATGCTGGTCCTTGTGAAATGACTTTAATACGTAATGTCTGTGACCAGAAAAGGTAATAATTATTAAGAACTTAGGAGGATGTAATGTGGATGTGAGAAGTTTTTGGCTTCTAGCTTCCTGGCAGAGATTTTAGAGAAGGCAATCAACCATGGCTCTCACACAAGCATGTCTCCCACCCAAGCATGTCTCCCACAAGATCGCAGATGGTAATGCAGATGTTCAAAGCCACCTAGTAGTCTTAGTTTAACATTGTGACTTTGAGCATACAATAGTTAATTGTTGCCTATATAAATTTCTGGGTCAAAGAATTTATTTTCCCCCATTTTTTAGGCCTCTGTGCTACCAATTTGTATTGCAGAATGAATTAACAAAATAGTTGAATGAAACATGAATAATTAAGTTTTCTTTGAGCATAGATTCAAGTTAATATCCATAAACAGTAGAATAAAATTCATATAAATTTCTATTGAGCCATGGGAAAGAACAAACTATTGTCACATGTAATAACACAGGGGAGGGCTGGGGTTGTGGCTCCGCAGTAGAGCGCTTGCCTGGCACATGTGGGGTGCTGGGTTTGATCTGCAGCACCACATAAAAATAAAATAAAGGTATTGTGTCCAACTATACCTGAAACAAAATATTAAAAAAATAACAGGGGAACCATTACATGACACAGAACTACATAATACATGATTTCAATTTTTATAAAGATCAAAGCATACATATTAATATATGGTGTTAAGTTTTATGATATTACATATTTTGGGTTGGAATGGTGTCCAGGAGAGAGTCTGAGAAGAGCTTCTTCATGAGAGTGATGTTATATTGATTGAAGACTGGTCACATAAGTACAGTGGTTTTGTGAAAATAATTAAACTTGTAAACATTTGAGATCTGCATATTTGTGTATTATGTAAAGCTCAAAGAAATGCTTAATAAGATATTTAACAATGGTGGGGATGTGACTACTGGATTATGAGTATAATTTGATAGAAGGCAATAGTAGCAGCCAGGAGACCAGATGTAAGAAGATTGACTTCAATGCTCATGACAGAGATTTGTAAGATGGCCCTATCAGATCTAAAGTAGGAAATGATAGAAGACAGTAAAGAAACATAGTTGGTATTAATTATTTTAGTTGACAAATGTCTGGAGGGCATAAATTTGATGTATTTATATACATTGAATACATACAGTGTGTAATGATCAAGACAGTGTGGTTAACATTTCCATCTCCTTGAACATTTTTTAAAAATTTATAAACACGCAGTAATTATACTATGAAGTACAGTGTGATATTTCATTATATATATAATATATACTGATAAAATTCGGGTAATGAACATTTCCGTCTCCTTATGATTATTTTGGTTTGCAGTGTTCAAGCTCCTCTCTTCTAGTGATTCATAAAATACACTATAGATTATTGTGAACTATAGTCACCTGCTTTGCTGTAGAACATTAGAATTTATTACTGCCATCCACTTGTGCTTTGGTGCCATTATCCAACTTCCTTCTACTCACCCTCACCTCCCCCTGCTTCTTAGTAGTCAGATGTTATGAAGTTCAACCCCCATATCAAATGAAGGGACCTCTGCATTTTTGACAAATAACCACCCAGTTTCTTAGAACACTTTAGAGCATTTGTAGCTCACATTTGCAGCTAGCATTTGACTGTTGTTGATAACACATTCCATCCATACCCTATGTTGACCTGTGTCTTCTCAGGCTTAAAATTGTTCTTCCCCAGGTAACACCCAGTGGTATTCTATCACACATAGAATAAAACCCTGAGTTTCCTCTCAAGTCTTGCCAGTCTGAGATTTGGCCCCTGCCTCTCTTCCTCATCTTGCCTACCCACTTCTCCATTCTCTGCTAGTCTTCAGAACATCTAGCTGGATTCTTGCCACATGACATTTATATTTGCTGTTCTTTCTGCCTAGAATGCATTTCCCTGTACACTGTTCAACCCAACTTCTAAGTACTCAGATTCAAATGTTTACTTCCTGAAAACTCTCTTCCATGACTCCCTATTTAGTGATGTCTCCACCCAAGTTACTCTTTTTTATTTTTTTAGTTGTAGATGGACACAATATCTTTATTTTTTTTATTTATTTATGTGGTGCTGAGGATCGAACCCAGGACCTCACACATGCAAGGCAAGCACTCTACCACTGAGCTACAACCCCAGGCCCCCTCCTCAAGTTACTCTTGTTGCATTTTCCAACCGTTAATTTTAAGAGGGATTTTATAACTTTGCCTTTTAAATGCCTATTTCTCCACTGAGTAGTAACAAGACCATCCGGAAGGCGATTGAAATAGTCCAGAAGAAAGATGATAAGAGTGCTAATTAAGGGAGACCATGGAGACAGAAAGATGTAGTTGGATTTGGGGAATGTTTTAGATGTATAAGATTTTTGTGGTGTTAAGAATTGAACCCATGGGCAGTCCACCACTAAGAATTCCATCCTGTTAAAAAAATGTTGTTTTGAGACAGGATCTTGCTAAGTTGAGGCTGACCTTGAACCTCAACCTCCTGAGTCATTATAATTACAGATATGAACCACCATGCCTGGCAATAAGCTTTAATTTTTTACGTCAGTTTTAAGTTTACAGAAATATTGAGTCCAAAGTACAGACAGTCCCCAATACACCCTCCCACAAACAACCCACATAATATTAAAATCTTACATTAGCGTAATATGTTCATCATAACTGATAGACCAATATTTATATGGTATTGACTAAAGTCCATAGTTTACAACAGAACACAATCTTTGTGTTACATGGCTTTGGGCAAGAGTATAAAGTCATGTAGCCATCATGAGAGTATCTCCCTAAAAAGGACCTGTACTCTACCTGATTTATTTTGAGAATTTATTTATTGTACTTATTGGATTTTCATTTCTCATTTTTCCAATGATTGTTTCATCATGTCCACATGGCTTCAAAGTCCTCTTATGCCATGTGCTTTGCTGTGCATTATGGCATCACTCTCAGATTAGCAGGGATGCTTACGTCTGTGATTTTCGTTGTTGACTAGTATTATGATTCCGCTAGACCACAGTACAATGTCCTACTTATTAAACATTTTACCCTAAATCTCAAGTTATTTTATCTTTTCTTGTTTTCCACATATTATTTTTGTTCTGAAATAAGCTAACCTGTTCTGATCTTTCTTAGGTTTGGGCGGAAGGTGGTCTACCTGTGGTGCTTACTCCAGCTGGGCATCGTTGACACCGCAGCAGCTTTCACCCCCACCTTCCTCATTTACTGCATATTACGCTTCTGGGCTGGGTTGAGTGTCACGACTATTATGATACATTCTTTTTGTCTCAGTAAGTCAATAATTTGAGACTTTCATTTTCTCCATGTCTGAATTGACTGAAATTACCCTTTGCTGAAATATCAATTATGTACATGTTTTCTTCCAGTGTCAGATGGACAACATCCCAAAGGAAGTCTGTGAGAATAGTCCTGATGATGTCTCCTACAATATTGGGCAAATCTTCCTTGGAGGACTGGCTTTTACCATTCAAAAGTGGTACACACTACACCTGGCTGTGTCTATACCCTTGCTTGTCCTCCTCTTGCCCTCCAGGTATGAAGAGTCTCCACATTCTATCCAAGGGAAGCCAACATGAGAACATAAGGGTGGTGTCACTGGGTATCTATATGGTCCCAATACTGGTCCTAACCCCATTAACACCCATTTTGCCATTCAAGATGCAAGAAATGAAATAGAAAGGAAGTCTGAATGGAGATTGGCAATTTGCAGTCACCATTTTTGCATACTAGGCACAAAATTATCATGAAATAATTGTAATAGAAAAAATCAAAAATGTTATCATACTTTCATGAGTGCAGAATAATAATATATAAGAGTGAGGATCATTGTGACATACTCAAAAATGCACATAACATAATTTGTGAAATTTCATTTCCCAGTATCTCCTCTTTCCCCACCCTCCTAATATCCTCCTCTACTCGTCTGGTCTCTCTTATACATGTTACTTTCTTAATTAGTGCACTATGATTATATATAAAAGTGGGATTCATTGTGGTTTGTTCATACATACACATAGCATAATTCAGTTAATTTCAATATCCAGTAACTCCTTGGCATCCTTTCCTCCCCCACCTTTCTCTACCATCCTCTGCTTTACTGTTCACCCTTCTATTTTCATGAGCTCCTTCTATTTTATTCCTTTTTTCTCTCTACCTTCCACATATGAAAGAAAATATTCAGTCTTTGACTTTCTGAGTCTGGCTTATTTCACTTGCATTATGCTGACCAAGTCAACCCATTTACCTGCAAATAACATAATTTCATTCTTCTTTATGGCTGAATAAAACTGAATAATAATGCTTCTCAGTGAGGTAGATGTTTAATGGATTTCAGTAAAATTCAATACTGAACAGTCAGAGACACAAAGAGGCCCAGAAATACTGATGTTTCAAATGTAGGATATGAAAATGTACTTTAGTGCCAAGCTAGTGGTGGCTACAGCTCTGGGTCACCAAAGATGAGAGAGGTATAAAGAAAGAAGCAGCAGAAAAAAATGTCATGGAGACACCAATAGAATAGAAAGGAAGTCTGAACTTAGCTTATTCTGGATCTATACTTGGAGTTGATGATTGAAAAGTGCTCTGTCTCTGTATTTCTCAAGTTGAGAGGAGAGAGCCAAAGTGGGAAGCCAACTCATGGAAGTCACACTTGACGTGGGGAACACCTTTGCTACAGGAACCAATAGAAAAGATTGACACAGCATCCTGGCTGGCATCTACCATATGGCCTAGAATGCATGCCATTGAAACAGGCACACAGAAGATTTTATCTAGGAGAATCAGCTCAAAGATACAGCGGGGATGGCAACTTACTTTCCCTTGGAGTGTGATGCTCACTCAATCAGCTGAAGAGATTCAGGAAACAAACAGGCAGGCATGATTATATTCAAGGATTGAGTCTTGTAAGGCCATAGTCCTAGGTGGTGGAGTGTGCTATGACCTGTTGTGCCCCCTCCACCGAGGGAAGTTGGTTACCCTATGAGTAAAATTGTCAAGAAGTGTCTGGGATTGGGACAACCAGAAGAAACTGGCATCTGCCTGGCCCTATGGGTTTGTTGATCTTATCTCTCCAGAATATGAAAAAGTTCCAATCATGGATAGATCCAAACTGTGAAAACTTTCCATTTAGAAATTTGCATCATCCCTCTCCTAGTCAAGTGATATTTCTCTTTCCAACCTACCTTGTACTGATGAGCAAGAAACTAAGAGTCATTTCAACTAACTTTGAGTCAGGACACTCCATATTTGGTTCTAGGTGTAGCAATCAATACAAAAGAAGGAAAGGTTTAATAATCCCCCAACCTTTGCTATAAGAGGTTCATACCCCTGGAAGAAATGGAAGGAAGGACAGTCTGGCATAAGTAGTAAATATCCATCCTTGTCCAGTTTCAACCACCACAGTGAAGACAATTCTTTTATTTTTGTTAAGAATTTTTGTGTTCTTCTAGTTGTATTTTCAGAGTTCTTCATATGGATACATACATATGTATGAATATATGTGTATGTATATACATATTTCATATTTTATCATATTTTTATTTTATAATTTGTTTTGGGGGGTTAGTGAGTTTTTGCTATTGCTGTTCTCCCTCCTATCTTCTCCCTCTAATATTCAAAATTCTCTTCTTTCTCTCCCTCTCCTTCTTTCTCTTTCTCTCAACTTAATTTTAATTTTTTAAATTTTTTCCTCCTTCTTTATGACCATCACTTTATACCTCTCTTCTGCTTTCTTTCTTTTTTATAATATTTTAGTCTTTCTTTGCCCTTTTTCCCATTTTTTTCTTAATGGATTGAATTTTTACCGTTATTTAAAACTATTTTATATAATTTATGCCCCCACCATTCATGTTGTCACAGTTATTACTATTGTGGAAGTCATAGTTGACACCTGGTGTTTAATTTTAGTGCTATGTCTAGCTCATAGCTGTTTGTCATTGTTGCTGTTGCTAAGTTATGACCCCACCATTCCTGATTTTGTGGCTATTAGTATTGAAGATGTTATATTTAGGACCTGGGTATTTTAGTGCTCTATACTTTTTGCTACTGCTGCTGCTGATATTTTTCTTTTTCTGTGAGATGCTAGAAATCTGGTATAACACTTCAACTTCATGGGGTAGATATTATGCTGCTGAGATACACCCCCAATCCATCTAGGAGACAGCACACCTTGATCTATATACAACCTAATCCACTCAAACTTCAGCAACACTATATCACAAACAATAGGAGACAAAAACCCCAAACTGACAACCAGGTCACAAGTAGGAATGACTAGGAGGGTTCATGGATCACTCATGAACATCTGTATTTATAGAAACAGCAGAGAGAAATAGCACAAAAACTGTGGACACCATATCTATAAAGGGCTTTAACATAGATTGCTCCCAGACCCTTTTAATATACACAGAATTAGCAAGCCTAGGAAAAAAAATCACAGAAGATATACCCCTTATGCACTAATATATTTAACACAATTGCCTGACTTACCAGAAGGACCCCACTTTTATGAGATCTCATAGAAAGTGGAATTCTCAAGCTCCAACACAATATATGCTATCAAAGTACAATAAAATACATTGCAAAACAATTAGCAGGAAAACTGTACTATGAAATACACTTGGAAATGTATTCAACTATTTATAACAACCTGGTATCCAAAAACACTACACCAAGAAAATTTTGTACCCTAAAAATGTCCTCACATAAAAGTGGAAGAAAAATCCATCTCAACAGATGCACAAGTCTCAAAATAGGAAATCAGAAAAATTATGGTAAAATGAAACCCTCAAAGGTTTATAACTCCCTAGGATTGACTCCAAAGATATTGAAATATATGAAATTCTGGATAAATAAATCAAAATAATAACTATTTTAAAAAGAAGACTGAATTCCAAGAAAAGTCAGGAAAACTGAATGAGCTAAGGAAGGCATTACAGAATATGAATGAGAAATTCAACAAAAAGATAGATATTGGGGAAAAACAAGAAAAAATCTTGGAAATAATAGGCATAATAAGTTGAATAAAAAATTCAGTTGAAATGAAAGCCTTTTTATTATGTTAGAGCATGCAGAAGGCATAATCTCAACTCTTAGAGATAAGGTGATCATTCAGACAGTACTTAAGAAAAACTATGAAACGACAATAAGAATATATAAGAACTCTAGGACATAATTATGAGAGTAAATTTAAGGCCCATTACTCAATGAGGATACATTCAGTCTAATAGCATTGATAACCTTTGGCGAAATAAAAACAGAAAATTTTTTAAACTTTAGGTATGAGATGAATATCCAGATATTGTAGGCATGCACAGCCCCAAATAGGTGGGATCAGAAGAGATCTCTCCATGACATATTATAAGTAAAATATTTTTAAAAATACAGATGAAAGAAAGAATTTTAAAAGTTACCAAAGAATAATGAAAAGTCACATTTAGAGGTAAACCAATAAGGATAAATTATGACAGCTTAGACTCTAAAATCCAGGAGGGCTTGGCATTAGAAAATCCAAACCCTGAAATAAAATAATTTCCAGTCAAGATTGCTATATCCACTCTTTCACAATGAAATAAAAAGAAAAAAATCCAAGATAAGTATAAAATAAAAGAATTCATGATCCCTAAGCCAGCACTACAGAAATTGCTTAAGGAAATACTATACACAAGAGAACTCACACACAAACTACAAAGCTCCTGAATGGATCACACTCGCTAGGGAGAAATTAAGTAAATGAAATTTGAGACTGAGTGAAATACGTGAAACAAATCAAATTGCAGAAAATAATAGTCACCTCTTCATAAATATTAAACACAATGGTCTCATTTTAATTAAAAGATGTAGATTAACAGAATGTATTACAAAACAAGACCCAGCTATATGCTGTTTCCAAGATTCATCTTATAGACAAAGACAGCCATGGGCTGATAGTGGAAGGATGGAAAATGATATTCTATGCAATCAAAGTCCAAAAACAGATAGTAATCACTATGCTCATGTATTACAAAGATATTTCATGCAAAAATCAGAAGAGACAAGGAAGATTTCTACATACTTGTAAAGGAACCAACCCAATGAAAAAATATAATAATAGCAATATTTATGCCCAAAATAAATGTTGATGCACCTAATTACATAAAACAAACTCTTCTTGACATTAAGTCTAGAAGAGCTGAGCTCCACACAGACCCTGGGCAAGACCTGACTGCAATAATACTGGTATTTTCAACACATCCATCTCACCAATAGATAGGTCATCTAGATATAAAATCAATAGAAATGTTATGGCTTGAGGATGAGGTGTCCCCAAACCCTCCTGTGTTAATGTTCAGAGGCAGAATGATTTAATTATGAGAGCTGTAACCCAATAATTGGATTAATTCACTTGATGAATTGAATTCAGGGGCACTCGACCACTGAGTCACATTCCAGGCCTTTTTTGTATTTTATTTAGAGACAGGGTCTCACTGAGTTGCTTAGCACCTCTCTTTTGCTGAAGCTGGCTTTGAACTCTCCATCCTCTTGCCTCAGTCTCCCAAGTTGTAGGATTACAGATATATGTCACCATATCCAGCTAAATTGATAATTAATAATGTGATTGGACTAACTGGGTGGTAACTACAGGCAGATGGGGCATGACTGGAGAAAGTAGATCTCAGAGGGTGTGACCTTGCAGATTATATTTTGTCCCCATGGCCCCTCTTTCTTTCTCTGTGCTTTCTGATTATGATGAGGTAGGCAATATTCCACTGCCATGCCATTCTTCTGCCTCATCTTGGGCCCAGAGCAATGGAGACAGCTGACTGAACCTCTGAAATCATGAGACTAAATAAATTTTTTCTCCTCTAAATTGTTATAGTCAGGTGTTTGGTCACAGAAAAAAACAGCAGTATTCCTACCTAAATATTACCATAAATAAAATGCATGTAACAGACAGTTATAGGCTATTTCATCCAATAACAGTTGAATTC